TGCCTGTTGTGCGTGGGATGCTTTATATTAACGCGGTATTTACTATGTGTGTGACACTAAGGGCGTTTTGACTGGATTCTCCTGAAAACCAGTCAGTGTAGGTTGTTATAATGAATGCTCTTTCTGCACTTTTAAATTTTTTCCTTAAATTCTATTATTATTTGCATTCAGAGTTACATATTTTCAGTTATGTTGTACCTTCTAAGGTAAACATAAGTGTATATTTTCATTGAAAACTACAAATGAAGTAATATTCAAACAGACAAAGATTATAATATATCAGAATAGTAAGTGAAGTCTGTAAAACTGAGAGTTGGTTACGATCACAGGGATGACATTCCCCCTTTTTTGTTGTCGTAGCAACATTGCCCTAAATACAAATCTCAGTGTTAGAGATCACTGACTGAAATGAAATAATCACTATGAGACTTGAAATTGGAAAATTAGATGGTGTGATGTGGAATACTCCCTTTCAAAATAATGTGTATGGAAAGTGGTAAAATCACAATCTTCCCAGACTTAAATTATTCTGATTGTAAATTGCCCCCTTGAAGGTTGATACACTGACAGTTCACATTAATTCTTTTCTCATTATTGTGGTGCTGCAGAAACATTCTAATGTTAAAGAGCTTCCCTGGGACTCTTCTGGGTTTATCTTGGCTTGAAAGAAAAGGCTTAGGTTATTACTGTTAGAAACCAGTGTCATCAGAATTTCCTAGGGCCGGGGATGTAGCTCAGTGGCACCCTGCCTGCCTCACAAGTGCAAGGTCCTGAGTTCGATCCCTAGTACAAAAAAAAAAAAAGAAAAAGAAAAAAGAAAGAAACCAGTGTCTGAATTTCCTAATGCTGAGTGATAGGTGTTAGTTAGCTTCACGCTTTGTACTTTATTTGTGTACTTGAGCTGTACATCATAATTCCCAGATACTACCTCAGTAATAGCTACCAGATATTTAGCATCATTTCTGTTTCAGCAGTGCTTTGGAGGTCTAGCAACAACAACCATAACACAAACTCAGTGAGCAAAAGAACCTGTTAATAGTTACATTATCTAAGTTCATCTTTCCTCTGTTCTCGGAGCCAAATTATTTAAATTAGCTTTCTTTTTTTTTGGTACCGGGGATTGAACTCGGGTTCTTGCGCTTGTGCAGCAGGAGGTGGAACCACTGATCTAAATCCCTGGCTCTAAATTAGCTTTCTTGATAAGCTTCTTGGGTAAGAAATTAGGCAACTGGTCTTTAGAACCTATGTTCTACTTTTTCATATTTCTTAAGATTTATGCCTGGTTTTTATTAATTGAGAAAATAAGAAATCTATTTTGTTAATCTCTAAGAGGACAGAGTTATTATATAATACATATAATACATTAAGTTTGATGAGATAGAGTAGTTTTGTAAGAGTTCATATTAGTACACAAAGATTAAATACATTAAACTTTGGAGGATAGTTATGGGAGTACCTTAATCCTGTATTTTGTAACTTAATAGAGAAGTTGTCTATTCTTGAGTTACAAAAATGTCTAATAAAATATTTTAATGCTTTTTCTCTATTGAGGATTTAATGTTAGCATCCTAGGTTGTTAATTGGATGGGAATAATGTGAATATTACTATTAGTACTTTTTTTGTTCTGTTTTCTTTTTGCTGGGAATTTAGACAAGCACCGCTGAAATGATGAAATGAGTGCTAGACTCTGGTGCATGGGGCTTTCCTTGTTGGTAATCCCTTGTCCAACTTCACTCTATGCAGTAGAGCGGATTCCCTAGCTTGCTGCCTGTGATTCAAGTGTGTTCAGCGCTATCATTTGAAAGATGCCAGTATCTTGGGGTAGTGGAAGCAACTCGGTTGTCACCATGGCTCTTTCAGTGTTAAATTACTGAACTGGTATTGCTTTTTGGTGGAGAAATCTGCAGGTGGCTGTCTTGCTACCTGTCTTTCCCTCTGAGCCTCACCTGAGTGCCTGAGTCCTCTCCATTCATGCTTGCGAATGTACTGAGTTCTCATCCTTTTTCAGTTGGTATGCGTGCCACACTGCCTGTCTGTCAAGTGTCTTCTTCAGGGGACGACCTTCAGAGCCCAAGGCCCATGCTCTTCCTCTCCAGCATGGTGGTCTGAGTACCACTGTGGCCCTGGGCTCTTCAAAGCACCTGATCAGTGACTAAATGAGTGAGCAAATGAGGGAAGTTCAACATCTGCATCAATAAGGAGGACTGCCAGATCTCTTTCTTTGTTCTTGCCTTATAAACTTATTATAATTCAGGTTCATTCTGAATTTTTTTACAATAGTCAAAAAACATTTATGGTATCATTATTGCTTTAAGAGATATAGCCTTATACACTACCGTGTATAAATATGTAAGCAGTTCTACACTGTTTTCCTGAGTCAGCTTGTCCTTTCTGAAACATAATTCAAACCATGAACATCTATTTGTTGAGTGCATAAAAACACTGTGGCATTTATTATGAGGTATACAAAGATAAATAAGTTGTAGATGATACCCCTTATGGGACCAACAGTAATTAATAAATACTGTGTGGCTGATTGTATAGGTTAACAATTATTAATGTTGTTCTTGACATTGTTATTATTAAAGTGCTTTGGGATTTTACATTTGGAATCAGGCAAATCTGACTATTTTAGCATAAATTTGGAGCAAATATACTCAGAATTAACAAGGCTTTACCTTTTGGTCCTGCTTTCTGCAACCCCTTCTCCAGTCTTTAAATATTACATATAGTGGCACCTCGGTTCACAGACGCTTGTGTTTGCAAACAGTTTGGTTTGCTAACCGAAGAGTTTGGCAAAATTTTGCTTTTGTTTGTGAGTTCTGCATCAGGTGATGAACAGGACCATGGCCATCTCTTCCATAATTGTGGAATGAATTAAGTTCGTGAACTAAAGCACCATAAGTCAAGAACCAGACTAGAATTCTGGGCATTTTTTGAAAACTGTTTGTTATAGGCAGAACCAAGTGATAGATTATATTTAGTTATCTTTTTGTTTCTCCCTGGAAGTGATAGGAAATGGAAGGGATTTCAGGTTGGTGCTTCGGAGAAGAAAGGCCCATGAAATTAAAAACTTCATGTTGGCATTTAAGTGTAGGAGAGTAGTAAATAATATGCCATCACTGAGTAGCTTTGCTAGAACATTTCTACCCATGTCCTTACTGTTTTTTCAAAAAATTTATTTTGCTATTGTGAATATTTTGATTTGTATTCTTATAGTACATTTTGTACACACCGTGAATATAATTTGAGAATACATTCTAGAAGTAGATTTGCTGGGGAAGGGTGTACATATTTTCAATTTTTTCTATGTACCTTGATTGGCAAATGGCTCTAGAGCAGTGCTGTCCAGTAGAGTTCTGCACCAGAGCAGCACTGTCTAATAGGAGTTATGGTGATGGAGGGAATGTTCTGTATCTATGTTTTCCAGTGTTAGCTATTAGCTACATGAAACTCTTAAGCTTTTGAATTGTCACTAATGCCATTCAGAAACTGAGTTGTTAATTTTATTTTGTTGAATTAATTCAGGTTTAAACTTAATCATATGTGATTAGTGGCTATGTATTAAAAGGTGCCGGTATAGAAGATTTAAATCAGATTACATTTCCACTAGCAGTAAATGAATGTCTGTTCCCTGTGTCCTTTCAACATAAACATTCTTTTTTTCCATAAAATCTTGTTACTTTTAGAGATTAAAAAGTTTTTCTATGTTATATTACTGTGTGTGAAGTGAGGTTGAGAACCTGTGGGCATTAGCTTTTTTTGGTGTTTTTTAATGGTTTACCTGTCTACTTCTGCCAACTTACACAATAAGGCATTCACTTTTTTATTTCTGATTTTTTAATACTAGCATTCATAATCTTTGTCTGCTCTTGCACATATTGTCCCTAGGTGATTTGTTTTTATATTTTTGCTTATATTCAGATTATTGTAAAGAGCATAAATACTTTTAATAAATAGGGCAAGCATTTTCAAAGAAATTTCATATTACAATAGGTTAGAGAGGTTTGGGAATGAGGAAAGACAGCGGCATTTATCTTTTTTTGGTACCGGGGATCAAACTCCGGTCCTCGAGCTTTTGAGGCAGGCTGCGGAAACACTGAGCTAAATCCCCAGCCCCAGCAGCATTTATCTTAATCCCTAGGCACAGAGGAGGCATATCTGAACTGTGGTAGGAACAGAGAGAAGAGTACCAGGGAAAGGAAAAGAGATATCCTCAGACACCAAGGAAGGAGGGAACAAAGCAGTGAATTACTGCCTCAAAGTGGGGAGGAAGACTATAGTAAATGATAGCTCTTGGTGTGGGGTTGGAAGACCGATTCTCCTTTGAAATAACAGCTTCATATATCTCTGCTCCCTCCTTTTCTCTGTGCTGTGTCTATCTGTAGTGATCAGGGTACCATCACTCACTGCAGTGAGGGTCTGGGTGTAACGTTTCTTTATTATCAGATCATTCAACACAGGGATCTAGGAGGGAAGCAGCATAATGAGTAAATAAACTGGGGTCCACTTCTAGCCAGTCTGAAGTTAGGCTGTGGCTTTTATAAAGACTTTACTATGGAGACCTCTTGGAACCTCTTGGAGACTGGGTTTCTTCTGTAAAATGGGAATGATAGTATGGCTGGAAAGAGCAAATGGGATGTAAATATGTTAAAGTGTTTTGGGGAGTTCCATGTGCGTGCACTGGAAGCTAGAAGGGTTTAGGTTAGAGACCTTCCTGGTGTGGTAGTGGTGATGGTGGATTATCAACAAATGGGCAGAGAGTACATTGTTTGTTAGTGGAGTAAGGCTGGCAGATAAACACCAGGAAGAGACCTATCTGACCACCACCCTTTAAGATTTTCTTACAAATGGCCTAAAATTGTCAAAATTTGAGAGAATTCAGATGCACTGAACAATGTCTTTTGAATGTCCTATCTTATTTTATCTTATCTGCATGACCACCAAGTTTCCCATGCATAGATCGTGCCAACCATATATCTCTCTTTTAATTTTCTAGATGAACGGGACAAAGTACAAAAGAAAACATTTACAAAATGGATAAATCAGCATCTCATGAAGGTCAGTTTTTATTTCTTTTACATCTTGGAATTGTTTTGCTTATGTTAGACTTTTGGGCAGTAGTTGATTGTATAGCTCTGCAGAACAACTTTTGAATATCAACTCAAAAGTTTAAATTGTAGAACATTTCATAGCATTTTGGGCATCTATAATTACGTGGTGTGTGGTTTGTGGGTAATGATAGAGGTGGGAAGAGAAATACCCACTGATTACAGTGTATTCTGTGACGTTAGTAAAACCTGCTATTATTGGACCTAATAAATCTCAGTAGTTGAAGAAATCTGTAAATATTTATATGTTAGGGGATGGAAAAGTTACAGTTCTAGTAAGATTTTTTTCTCTCTGAAGATTCAAATTCTGTGACTATAAGAAATGAAGTGATAACAATGAAAGGGTAATTGAAGAATAAGGAGAGAGAAAAAGGGAATAAAATCATTCAGGTAAAATCTAAGGGTAGACATGATTGTGCACACCCCTAATCCCATCACTGTGGGAGGCTGAGGCAAGTTGGCCCACCCTGGGCAACTTGGTGAGTTAGGGAGACCTTGTTGCATTAATAAAGAAAAGAAAGCTGGGTAAGCGCAAGGACCTGAGTTCAATCCCCATACCAAAAAAAAAAGAAAAGAAAAAAAGGACTGATATGAAGGCCCTGGGTTTAATCCCCAGCAACACAATGAATACAACAGAATAAAATAAAATCTGCATACTTCTGTGTGTGTTCTCTGCCTTGTACATTTTGACTGAAATCATAAGTAGTCCTTAAGGCAAGAGGAAGAGGAGTGGAAAAAGATCAGAGGAGAAAGAAAGGAAGAAAGAAAGAGCAGGGGGGAAAGTTGAACGGGAGAGAGGCAGGGTGACTGCCTCTTACATTGAGGTGCAGTTGTGCTGGGGGTCACTCTAAGCCCTGGAAACCCCTAGCCCTGCCTGGGAGCACTGACAGGCAGGGGTCATGGTCCTCATCCTTTAAATAATTCTTAAAAATTTTGTCTTTAAAATTTTTATTTTATTTTGTTAATTTTCATTTAAGGTTATTGAATTACTTCTTTTAACCTCATTATGACTCCAAGGAGCTCAGTTCTGGGTAATTCTGCCCTTTTGGACAGTGAGGAGCTGGAGCAAGCAGACGTGTCTTCACCAGTCCTTTGTGTTTTCTGTTCTCTTCTTGTAGTTTCAACTATTTGCTGACAAATTTAGGAAGTTATAATCTATACAGCTGTATAATAGCTCATACTCCATGCCCAGTATGATTCTGATGTGGTCAGCTTGTAAAGAGTTTATATAACTGAGAAAGGTAGACCCTGTGCAGCTTTGAAATGCTTGTGGAGTTACTGTTAAATCAGTATGTAGAAACATTTTTTCTTAAAAAATTTGGTGGGGATTTAAAAAATACAACGTTTTCTCCAGAAAATAATTTAATATAGCCTTATTTTATGCTTATCAGAGCTAAAATTGCATTTGTTTAAAGTAAATAGACTGGTTTTAAAAACTTACATTTGTTGGTGAACAGACATCTCTGACTTTTTTCAGTTACACTTAAGTTTAGGGTTCTGGGGTTTCACTTGTATGCGTGACTAAGTGCCCTTAAGCTGGTGAGCATGCATGAATGTTTTCTGTTTGATTCACCCACCTTTACAGTACTTTTAGGAGTAAAGCCAGTTAACATATTCGTGTCTGCTGCCTCTGTAAGTCTTTTCATACACTCAGTAGACCAGGTTATTTACCTTGCAAATCATGGTTTCGAGGGAAAGTATTGATGGCAGAAACATTTATGTATTATTCTTTAGCACAATTTAAACTAGTATCAGTAGATCCTCAAAACATTAGCCAGAAAAAAAAAATTAGCCAGAGGAATAAGGCAAGAGAAAGAAAGAAAAAGGATACATACGGGAAAGGACAAAGTCAAAGTATCATTATTTGCAGATGACATGATCCACCATTTGCAAGACTAAAAAAATTCTACTAAAAATTTCCTAGAATTCCACTAAAAGACTCCTAGCGGGATACAAAATCAATAGCATTCATATACACTAATAATGAACTCACTGAGAAAGAAATTAGGAAAACAATGCCATTCACAACTACCATCAAGAAAAATTAAATACTTAGGAGTTAACCTAAAAAAGTAAGTAAAAGACATCTACAGTGAAAGTTACATCACTCTGAAAAAGGAGACTGAAGAAGACATTGGAAAATGGAAAGATATCCCATATTCCTGGATAGGTAGAGCCAATATAGTCAAAACATCTATACTTCCAAAACTGATACTGTAGATTTAACACATTCCCTATCAGAATATCAAGATCATCCTTCACAGATTTAGAGAATATGGTCCAAAAATTCATATGGAACCAGCATAGACTCAAAAGTAATTCTAGGTAATACGAACCAAGAAGTAGGCACACACAATTCCAGACTTGAAGTTGTATTTGTAAAGCTACATTGATAAAAACATCATGGTACTGGCTCAGAAACAGAAATGTGGATCAGAATAGAGGATGCAAAAACAGCCCAGACACATTCAACTATTTGATCTTCTATAAAGGGGTCAAAAACATACACTGGAGGAAAGATAGCCACTTTAATAAATGGTGCAGGGAAAATTGGATATCCACATGTAGAAGATTGAGTCTAGATCCATATATCTTACCATATACTAAACTAAAATCAAAGCGGATCAAAGATCCAAATGTTAAAACATACTAACACTTAATCACTTAATCTATTGAAACATTTAACCTGTTGAAAGATAAACTAGGTAAAACTCTTGAACTTATAGGTGTAGGACAGGACTTTCTGAACAAAAATAGCACAAAAAATAGTACCAAGAGTCAACAGTGGGATCATATCAAATTAAAAAGCTTCTGCACAGCAAAGGAAACAACCAACAATGTGAAGAGACAACCTACAGAATGGGAAAATTTTTGCTAACTATTCCTCAGAGGACTAACATCTAGAATATATAAAGAACTCAAAAAAATTAGACACCCCCCCCAAATAAAAGACCAAATCAGAACATGGGCAACTGAAGTGAATAGACACTTCTCAGAAGAAGTAGAGATGGCCCATAAATACCTGAAAAAATATTCAGTGTTGCTGGCCATTACAGATATGCAAATTAAACCAACACTGAGGTATACCATCTTACTCCAGAAAAAATGGCTATTGTCAAGAAATCAAATAATAATAAATGTTGGTGAGGCTGTTGGTGAAAAAGGAGCCCTTCTGCATTGTAGTTGACAAGAATGTAAAGTAGTACAACCACTATGGAGATCAGTATGGAGATTCCTCAAAAAAACTAAACCTAGAAATTCCATTTACCGAGCTATTCCCCACCTAGGTTTCTTCCTGAAAGTGTTGAAGTCATCATAGTGCAGTGATACATGCATACCCTTGTTTATAGCACAATTTAAAATAGCTAAATTTGGAAATAGCTTATATGTTCATCAACAGATGAATGGGTAAAGAGTGGTATTTATAGACAATGGAGTACTACTGTTCCATAAACCTGAGGCATTTGTAAGGCACATGGATACACCTTGAGACCATAATGTTAAGTGAAATAAATCAGACACACAAATTTAAATATTGTGTGGTTTCTTCTATATGAGAAACCCAAAATATAAGTAAAGAGTATAATAAAGGATAGATAATAGGAAGTAGGGAAGGGGAGCAAGAGATAGAGTGGGAGAGGGAAGGAAGGGGAAAAGGATTTTTAAAGAGAATTGAAGAAAAAACAAATAGAGCTTTTGGAAATGGGAAGGAGATCAAGAGTTGGAGGGAGCAGGGAGACTGGAGAGGAAGGGGACAAAAAAGAATTAAGATGTGTTATATACTTGTAAAAACTCGCCATGATAAATGTAGCCATTATGTACTGTAAACATGTACAAATAAAAAATGCATAATAAAAAAATAAACTGGAAGCACTAGAGTGTGGATGAGTTGAAAATATGAATATGAACGTTACTGAAAATACCTGTGGCTTCAATTAGCTAGATTTTACTGGAGAGTTGTTCTAAAATATAAAGTTGCTGCACTCTTCTATCATTTATAGTGTTTCTTTATGCCTGTTCTCCCTGTGACACTGGGTGCAGTCTCTCTATAAACTAGAGGGTCTTATATGACTACTTGCTATTACTAATCACATGCAGTTCTGTCTTGCTGTCTAGAAATTACAGCCCAGTGATGTAAGGATTGACACCTGAGATTTGAGAACTGTACTAAAGACTTAGCTTTTGCCTTGGGGGAGGGACTAGCTGAGGGGGGAAGGGGAAACATTATCTAAAGCACTTGAACTATTATCAGAGATTAGAAGATTGCTTTTAATTGTTTACTTGGACTCAGAATTAGAATTTGAGCCATGACTGAGAGGCTGGGTTCAAGAGGAGTAACATTCCTCTTGGATGATTTTTGGAATACTCGAGCCTGGAGAAGTCGCTATAGTGTGCTTCCCCTGGGGAGGATCCATCTAACTGGCTGTTTACAGTGTGGAATTACATTCTTCAGCATCGATAGGCTGTCTTACAAATTTATCCATGACATTGTGTAGTAGGATATTTTCCTGTTTTTTTCCCTAAATTTTAATTTATTGATATGTAAATATGTTTAGAGAGGAAGATGCCCTGGATTCCAGTGCTGAACCACACCCCATTTGATGCTTAGCGACTTGCTTGGTTACTGCTTGGGAGACACTCATTAACTTACATTTTTGTGTGTTTCGTTTTTTTGGAAAGGTTAAATTTACTCACAGCAAGGATATTCTTTGCATAGTAAAGTGAATGACTTTGTGACTTCAGGGAATTAGTCACACTGTTGTTTATTTGCTGATTTGGTGGCTGGAGGGAAATATAAATTCCCAAGCTGAGGACACACTCTGTGGTAGCTTTTAGTGAAAAGAAAAAAAGTCTATTTGGTCTGTGTTCTTGATAGTTGCTAGTTGGATAATTTTACTTTTGTGGCCACAGATAAGATAGGGGAATTTTTGAATTATTGACTTATGAAAG